GCATAGAGTCAATCTCTTTCTCTCTTCCTGTTTTTCCTTAGCCCAAACACATCACTAATTCACCATTATTTGTATTGGCTTTTTTATAGAATATTCTCTGTTTCTTTTCACATTTGGAGTTCCACTGTCTTCTGGTTGCCATGATTTCTGGTAAAAAGTCAGATACCTGTGTTATTTTTGGGTTTTGATCATTTGGCCACAGTGCACTTTTCGTATGAAAATCTGTAAAAAAAAAAAAAATTTATTATCCTTCAAGCGGGGGCTCTTCATTCTCTTTTCCAGGCCAAAGATTGGGACTAATCACCTTAATACCATCAGGGGCTGGGGTGGCTGAAGGCTGAGCTGTAGTTTCACAGGCTTTTTAGTCTCTTTTGCACTCGCTGTACAGGTAACTCCGGGGGCTGTAGCTCCAGCGGCATGTTCACCGCGACCCCTCTTCCCGGTGCATCCTCAGTGGTGCGCTTTCCTTATCTTGCCCTCCCTGACAGAGTCTGCTTTTCAGACCCCTTCTCCTTGTTTTCTTCACTTTCTTCTTTTCAGTTTTGAAATTCAGAAAATGTCTGGAGTATAGAGTCCACTTATCTTTCCTTCCTTTCTCTCTGAGATAATGGCTCATAGGTATTGTAACGATTGACTCACTGATGCACCAACCCAAGAGGATAACTTTCCATAGCCACCTTCTTTCCAGACTCGTAAAGTGGATTTTCATCGCATCATATGCAGGGTACACAGGATCACCATGTGTAATCACTGACCATGTTCACCGATCACCTGGCCGCGTGGTGCTCACCAGATGTATCCCCTGTGCATCTTCTTCCTTTGTCTCCTCCTGTGCTCGGTGGAAGAAAGTCACCAGGTGCAGCCCACAATTGAAGAGTGGGAGCTATGCCCTGCCTCCCTGAGAGAATAGCATCTACATAAATCATGTGAAATTCTGCATGGGGGATTTGTCTGGGTTCTCCCATGTAGGTATGTATGTAGTTATTCAATCATTTATTTGCATCAGTGTGGCCTCATAGATATTGATTTTTTTCTTGGGTTATAATCCAATACTACTGTATTTATCTTGCTGCTCACATTTTTGGCTTTGACCATTGTAATATCTTTTAGTTGGCATCTGTTGATATAGCCCCATGATTTTGTGTGTAGGTGGGTGGGTGTGAGGTGAGTGGTTAGCATGTCTTAGTTTCTGGAACTGCAAGATTCTCTAGGCTCATCTTGTATATTCCCTGCTGCAGCCTCACAATCTGCCACTTTTCCAAGGAGCCCTGGTTCCTTTAACTGGAGAATGATATGAGAAGCCAAGATCTGGGCACTAAGGGTACTTATTGCTCCTGCAGTGTTGTTGCTCCTAGGACTTCTCAGCTGACACAGCAGGAAATATGTGTGTGTATATCAACTCATGCATGTATGCATATCCATATATATTGAGCTTCTTTTTAATTAACAACATTACTGAAAACCAAAGCTGAACGTTTTACCATCAGCCTGTTTCTGATAATTCCAAGATATATACTTCCTTGAAATCGCTGCAGGTTATTCTTAGTGATGGTATGCCTACAGATATTTTAAATTATTAGAATAAAAAAAGTAAGAGGTTTACTTCTTATTGCAATTGGTAGATAGATATACATATATAGAAGAGATAACAAAAAGTTCCTGATTTGCTGGGCACAGTGGCTCACACCTGTAATCTTAGCACTTTGGGAGGCCCATAAGGGTGGACCACCTGAGGTCAGGAGTTTGAGACCAGCCTGGCCAACATGGTGAAACCTTGTCTCTACTAAAAATACAAAAAATTAGCCGGGCGTGGTGGCAGGAGCCTGTAATCCCAGCTACTTGAGAGGCTGAGGCAGGAGAATTGCTTGAACCTAGGAGGTGGTGGTCGCAGCGAGCCGAGATCATGCCATTGCACTCCAGCGTGGGTAGCAAGAGTGAAACTCCGTCTCAACAACAAAAAAAGAAAAAACAAGTCTCTGATTTTTATTATGCACGGTGGCCTTTGGCTAGTGCAAAGGAAAGGTCAGCTGCAAGTGTCCTTGGAGAATAGTTGAGGAAGGCACAAAGACTGCACAGAGACTGTTCAAGACCATCAGTAACCTAACAAAGCACACTGTTGTGCCAGTCAGAAGTCCAAGACACTTGGACTTACTAGGAAGTCCAAGTAAAACGGATGTGTCTGGGATAAAGAGAACATCTCATTTCCCAATGCAATTGAAATGCTACTCTTCATAGCGTGCTAAACTGTCTGGGTTACTGCCATGGGTTAAATTGTATTCACCCAAAGATGTTAGAGTCCTAACCCACAGTACCGTGAACATGACCTTATTTGGAAATAGAGCCTCTGAAAATGGTTGAGGTCATGAAGGCAGGCCTAATCCAATATGACCGGTGTTTCTATAGAAAGAGGAAATGCAGACACAGAGATCGACACCTCCAGGGAGGAGACAATAGAACAGAATTCACTTCTTGCATTCGCTGCACATTAGAAGGACATGGAGAGAATACTACCTGCAAGCCAGCGAGAGAGGCCTGGAGCCGATCCTTCCCTCACGGCACTCGGAAGATGCCAGGCCTGCCATCTTGATTTTAGACTTCCAGCCTCCAGAGCTGAGAGACGTTTCTGTCGTTTGAGCCACAGTTGGTAGAACTGCGAAAGCAGCTCCAGGAAACTAATTCAGTGACTAATGTTTTTGAACAGTCTTTGTGCATTTTAAATAAACATATTTAATATATTACATTCAAGTCTCAGAATGTCATAAATAATATTTTTTGATATTCATGTTATCCCAACAGAGAAAAGTGGGTCCAGTCAAATAAACGCAGCTGTTTAGGGCTGTGCCCAAAGCATGACGGGCCACAGTAGCCACAGTGAGAGGATGGTGGGAGGCAATAAGAGACACAGACCACCTCCCAGGGCCTGGACTTGGCAATGCACCTGCAGGCTTCACATCTCGTTCTCCTGATTCTGAGGTTTCCCAAAGTGTTTCCATTTCACAGATAAGTTCCCTAGTAGAATTATTTACATAAGCTTGAAAACTTGGCACAATCATGTCCATCCTTTTCAAACTTTACAACGACTTGTGAGAACCAAGTAGACAGTGTTGCAAATGCTTTCATTTTCTTGGAAAAAAGGGCTTATGTAAGTAAGTGTGTTATTGCTGTAGTCATAATTTTGAGTTAGGAGATTGAGAAACAAGGAATAACATTTGCCTATAAAAAGGCATTTATCTGACAGGGATCCTTTCAAATGCCATCACAGCCCCATAGGTGATCCTCCACATTGTGAAAATGTCAATCACATTTAGCAAGCAATGGTGTTTCATGAATATTCATTAATCAGTGAACTGTTGACACCTGAACTGACGCTGGATATGGCCTGAAAACACGCAACAACACACCCCAGTTGCAGGCAGAGCGTGACTTCTCATGCTTGTGGGCTCCAGCTACCATGCGTCCGTCACGAGCACATGAAATGGGAATTTTTTTTATTATCCAAAGGACATTTTCCTTACAAGTGTAATTATACAGAAGATCGAATATGGTTGTAAAACTTACTAAAAATATGACTTTAGAGATCGATTATAATTTCTTTAAGAGCCACAGTAACACCTAGCACAAGAATTGCTCAGACTGTTGCCTCAAATATGTTGTCTCCTTCTATTTGTCACTTTTCTGAGCTAGTATTTGCTTGCAATCAATTTCAAAATCCCCTGAGTTAGATGGGTTCAGCTTAACTTTGCATTTCCTTTTGTTTTGAGAACACCAGGAAAGGAGAAGCAGTGACCTTTGGGATGTAAATGCTAGAGCAGTCCTCCCTGCTGCTTGGTAACTCCCTTCAGGCAGCCTTAGACCCCAAAGGTCTGCTGGTGCATTGCAGCCTTTAAGACAGGGAATTACATGACCAAGGTAGGTGCCTCTTAATTGGCAGCAAGCATCCTAAAACATTTCCCTTTGCACTGCCTCTGCAGTTCATTTACATAAATTGTGGTGTTCCATTATTTAACATTGTCATTGTTTAACATTTAAACACAGATCCCATTTCTCACATTTTCCACCATGACACCCATAGAGAATCTTTTGTTTTTCTCCCTTAATCAGGTAACTTTTTCAGGACTTTTCTTGATGTGTCAATAACTCTCTGTTTTACAGTGGTATCAAGAATTAAGACTGGGCTTTAAAGATATTTACCATTAATTCTCAAAACTGGCATCTTAATCTACTCACCAATAAAATAAATTATTAGATAATTTTAAGAGCCAACAAATTCTTCATACTAACAAATAATATCAGTAGAAAAGCTGACTCTACCCCCATCTGCACCCCACACCCTGCCAAAGGAAAATCAGTTGTGAAAAAGTAGACCCTAGGAATAATGAAATACCCAAACCAGAAAACAACAACATAAGACATAAGACAAAAAGCAAAACAAAACACACTCACATATATTCATAGGCAGAAGAAGTCCTTCTATTTAATTACAGGATTTTGAATATGCATGTAATAATCACTTCATAAAATCAAATTGGTAGGTAATTATTGCACTCCATCATTGAAAAAGAAACTCAAAGTTAAAGATAAAACTTAGAGTAAATAAAAAGAATTGAAACTCAAAGGACATGTCAAACCAGCTTCTTTTATGTGTGGATTCTCCATAATATCTGATTCTTCTTGTGCATGGAAATTTGCAGAATTCTCCCCATCAGTAAAATTGGTTTGTGTAAATATGGTCAGTAGTGAGTTAGGTTAAGTTTATAGCTAGGTTTATAGACATTATGCAAACACAGGCTGGATTCAAAAATATGAATTAATTCTAATCATCCCTCTCCCATACCAATTAAAACATTACAACACAGTTTCACTTTGAATCACTTGTTTTGTCTCCAGAATCACTAACGTATCATGGTTACCTGAAAGGCTGGGACATTAAGGATATGACTACATATGGCCTTAGGCCTCGCTGAATTTTGAGAGCTATGCCTCTTTCAGTAAATTCCTACCTGCAGACGTTGTCACGATTTCTGTGGTGTTTCTGAGGCCCATGAAGTCAAACTGATAAAGCCGCCATGATTTCTGGTCAGCCGCCTCCACTGAATTTTTTCTCCATCTATAAATCATTTCTTCTTTGGGATAGCCATCTAAAAATACAGAGCAAACATTAGCGCTTGAAGGTACACATTTATAAATCATTAAAGTGAAAATTATAATTCTGATCAATGAATAGGAGTTAAACTTTTAGGCCATATGTGCTCTCTCAATTTTCCTCCAAGACACAGAAACTCGAAAAATGAACGGCCAAATGCCACCTAATCCCACTGCAGATTTTCACGAACGGCCAGGCGCTCCACCACATAGGCCTGGCCACTGACAACACACAGGGGGTGGTTCATTTCTTTAACCTTGGAGAGCCACAGCTGCCGTCGGCCTTCAAGGAGTGGAGGTGCTTGTCAATGGCTCCCAGACTCTGAGTCCTCGCCATGCAGATCTAACTACATGGCCCATGCCCATACACCTTCCACCCTTCCCCAGAATGTATTCCATCCAGATCTCAGGAAAGAGGAACTCAGTAAGGTAATCACTCCAGGATTCGATAGACCCTCTCTCCTTTCAGTCTCCAGCTTTGATAGGTGAATACTGACCTGCTTCAGGGACCCTTTCTCAGGTGGTTACTTACTCCAGGAGCCTGGCGGCTTCTGCTGCCTGGGGCCCAGACTGGTGACTGCCTAGACCATGGCATCGGCAGGGACTCTGTCCCACCCTGTGGGCGCTGTCACCAGGGCTCCCTGGCTCCCTGAGCCAGAGCTGGATATTTGCCAGATGGCTGCTTTTCTGCCTGCATCTGTACTCCTGAATTCCCCCCTTCTGAACCATGCTTGGGATAACGCCATCCCCTCTCTGCTGGAGCTTTATGGCCTGGTGCACCTGCCCTCTTTCTCCCGCCTGATCTGCAGGCTCTGCCGCTGTGTCCGCCCCACAGGGCGTGCCCTGGACAGGCTGGAGCTCTATGGCCTGGTGCACCTGCCCTCTTTTTCCCGCCTGATCTGCAGGCTCTGCCGCTGTGTCCGCCCCACAGGGCGTGCCCTGATCTGCAGGCTCTGCCGCTGTGTCCGCCCCACAGGGCGTGCCCTGCTGGAGCTCTATGGCCTGGTGCACCTGCCCTCTTTTTCCTGCCTGATCTGCAGGCTCTGCCGCTGTGTCCGCCCCACAGGGCGTGCCCTACTCTCAAGAACAGGTCTAGGCCTTGTGTCATCGGCAACACGCGACAGCTTTAGCGTTCTCCGCCTTCACTGATTCATACAGACACTGATGGCATGACTCTGGAAGAAACGTATGCACCATCTTGATGAGTTATCCTGAATACTAAAAGCCCTGCCTTCGTGCACACATATGTATGCAAACATATTAATAAAGTGGTTGAAATGTGCTGATTAAACATTTAAATCAGTTTGCAAAATTCTTAAAGGCAATCTGCCTTCTTGAGTTTTTTCCCTCTTTGCCTGACGTTGCTGGCTTGGCTCCATCATTGAAAGACGAAAATAAAGCCCAGGCATGTCCCGCTTTCTGATTGTGGGTTGCCCGGTGAAATTATTGTCAACACAGCAGGGACACATGCTCTCCTCGCACTTGAAAATGCTAAGCTCAAGGGACCCAGAGTCAGTCTGAAGCATTTCTGTGAAGGAATCAAGCACTGTACTTGGCCATTGGCCATGTCCCAATTGCTTTCTATCCCCGTTAGGCTGTCATAATTACAAAAGGTGCTCTATGCTATAATTCTTCCTTTTTAACTTTGTTTTTAAATCACCTTTATTTGAGATATAATGCACATACACAAATTCACACATTCAATGTGCCCAAATCAGAGGGTTATCCCATATTCTCTGAATGGTGGAACCATCACCCTAATCTAATTTTAGAATATTTTCGTCACCAAAATGACCAAGTAGTGGTCACTCCCCTTTTCCCCTCTTTTCCTCCCCACACCCACTACCCATCTCACCTAGTCTTAGGCAGTCACTTATATTGTCTGTCACTACAGTTTGGTCTATTCCGGACATTTTATATAAATGGAATCATATGATATATGAGCTTCTGCAAATAGCTTATTTCACTTAGCATAATGTGTTCAAGGTTCACTCCTGTCATAGCACATATCAGTACTTCATTCATTTTTTTTTTTTTCTCTTGAGACGGAGTCTCGCTCTGTTGCCCAGGCTGGAGTGCAGTGAACGATCTCGGCTCACTGCAAGCTCCGCCACCTGGGTTCACGCCATTCTCCTGCCTCAGCCTCCCAAGTAGCTGGGACTACAGGCACCCACCACCAAACTCAGCTAATTTTTTGTATTTTTAGCTGAGACGTGGTTTCACTGCATTAGCCAGGATGGTCTCGATCTCCTGACCTCGTGATCCACCTGCCTCGGCCTCCCAAAGTGCTGGGATTATAGGCATGAGTCACTGCCCGTGGCCCTCCATTCTTATTTATTGCCAAATAATATTTCATTGTACAGATATACCATACTTTGTTTATCCATTAATCAGTTGGTAGACCTTTTGGCTGAGTCCATTTTTTCATGATTATGAATGTTGTTATGGGCATTTGTGTACAGGATTTTGTGTTGATACATGTTTTCAGTTCTCTTGGTTATACACCTAGGAGTGGAATTGTTGAGTCTGGGTAACTACATTTAACATGTTGAGGAACTGCCAGATTGTCTTCCAATGTGGCTGGAACTTAAAATCCTATAGCAATGTACCAGGGTTTCAATTTCTCCATATCCTCTGCAACACTTGTTAGTTTCTGTCTTTTCACTGATAACAACTGCAGCAGGTGTGACGTGGCATATCATCATTGTTTGGATTTGTATTTCTCCAATGACTGATAATACTGAGCATATTCTCATGCTTTTATTGGCCATATGTATGTTTTCTTTGGTGAGATGTTTGTTCAGATCTTTCGCTGGTTTCTTAATTGGGTGGTTTTTATATTGTTGAGTTTTAAGAGTTATTTGTATATTTTGGGTACAAATCCTTTATCAGATATATATTTTAAAATATTTTCTCCCTTTCTGTGGTTCATCTTTTCTTTTGCAGCGACTGGAATTTTTTAATTGTAGTAACATATACATAATGTAAAGTGTATCATTTGAATCATTTTTGAGGACACAATTTGGTAGCATAAAGTACATTCACAATGGTGTGCAACCACCACCAGCATCTGTCTTCAGAATTCCTTTCTTTTCTTTTTCTTTTTTTCTTTCTTTTTTTTGAGATGGAGTCTTGCTCTGTCACCCAGGCTGGAGTGCAGTGGCACAATCTCAGCTCACTGCAACCTCCGCCTCCCGGGTTCACGCCATTCTCCTGCCTCAGCCTCCCGAGTAGCTGGGACTACAGGCACCCGCCACCATGCCTGTTTTTTTTGGTATTTTTAGTAGAGACGGGGTTTCACCATGTTAGCCGGGATGGTCTTGATCTCCTGACCTCGTGATCTGCCCGCCTTGGCCTTCCAAAGTGCTGGGATTACAGGTGTGAGCCACTGTGCCCGGCTTCGTTTTCTTTTTAATAGAATTTATTTTTGAGTGTACTTCCAGGATCACAGCAAAACTGAGTGGGAAGTTCAGAGATTTCCTGTATTACCCCCGCCCCACACATGCACAGCCTCCCTCATTATCAATATCCTGCTGCAGAATGGTACATTGGTTACAATTGATTAATTATGTCGTTATTACTAAGAGTCCACAGTTTACCTTAAGGTTCACTTTTGGTGTTGTATGTTCTATGGGTTTGGACAAATGTATAAAGACCTGTATCCACAACTACGGTATTGTACAGAGTATCTTTCCTGCCCTACAAATCCCCTGTGCTCCACCTATTCATCCCTCCCTGCCATCCTTCCCCTTAGCAACTACTGATCCTTTTACTGTCTCCATGGTTTTTCTTTTCTAGAGTGTCTTAAGGTTGGACTCATATAGTATGTAGCTATTTCAGGTTTGCTTATTAGTAATGTGCATTTAAGTTTTTCCCTGTCTTCCTGGCTTAATAGCTCATTTCATTTGCTGAATAATATTCCATTATCTAGATGTATCACATTTTATTTATCAATTCACCTACTGAAAGCCATCTTGGTTGCTTCTAAGTTTGGGCATTTATGAATAAAGCTTTGCTACAAACATACAGGTGCAAGTTTTTGTGTGGATGTGACTTGTCTTTTGATTTTTCCTTCTTTGTTTTTGAGGATAATTTTGCTAGGACTATAATTATTTGTTGACAGTCATTTCTTTCAACACTCTGAAGGTGTGATCAAATATTCTTAATGGCTTCCATGATTTCTCATTAGAAATCTGCTGCTAATCATATTGTGATTCACCTGTAAGTAAATATTGCTTTTCTCTTGCTGTCTTCAAAATGTTCTCTTTAACATTGTTAGCTTCACTATGATGTGTATAGATGTCAATCTCATTAAGTTCGTTGGGGTTTGTTGACATTCTTAGATGTATAAATGAATTGTTTTTGTCAAATTTTTGGCCACTATTTTTTCAAGTAATTTTGTCCCTGTTTCTCTTCTCTTCTACTCTGAGATTCCCATTATGTGTTTGTTGGTATTCTTCATGATATATCACGGGTATATTCATTTCTCTGTATTTTTCTTCATTCATTTTTCATTTTATTCCACTCACTTGATAATCTCCGTTGGTTTATCTTCAAGTTTGCTGATCCTTTCTTCTTTATACTCAGATCTGTTATTATGCCGACCCAGTGATTATTTTTATTGCAGTAATTGTACTTTTCAACTCTAGCATTTCTACTGGGTTCTTTTTCAACAATTTCTACATTTTCACTGATATTGTCTATTTGGTGATATCTAGTTATCATACTTTCCTTTGATTTTTTTTAGGCATGATTTCCTTAAGTTCTTTACACATATTTTTTAAAGTATTTGTCTGACACATCCAATATCTAGAATTCTTCAATGATAATTTCTATTAATAGCTTTTTCCTTTGTGTGTGTCATGCTTTTCTGTTCTTTTAAGGTTTTGTGATTTTTTTGCTGCTTTTAGACAACATATTGGAACAACTCTGATATCAGATCCCTTCCTCCACTCCAGAGTTTGTTGTTGTCCCTGTTTCTGTTGTTTCTCTTCTT